AACGCCCGGGCCTTCTAGTACTGGATCTCTGTTCTTTGGGAGGCAGGGATGAGATCCCCAGGACCCCCCTCCTCCACCAGCTGCGCCAGAGCTGGTCGCTCCCCTCCCGGGGTCAGTAACCGCAGAAACAGCCAAGTGTTCGGCACTGTGTGATCTGGAGTGCCGAATTCTGGATCTGCATCCCACAGTCAGGACCACTAACCCATTTCACAGGAGAGAACACCGAGACACGAGGAGGCCAGGTCATTTGCTCAAGGTCATACGGTGGCAGAGCTGGGCTGGAACCAGGTTTGTCTGAATGCGAAGCAGAGTCTCCTGCCAGGCTGTTCGCAGCTAGACCAGGACGCTGGTGGTGGTGCTGTTCAGGCCTGCTGTCCATATGCAGGGATCCAGCCCATCCTGGGTCCCTTCCCTGGCACCTTCCCTACCCCAGGAGCCTCTTGCTTCTTCCTCCAGCTCTACTCAATGACCAGCCCCCAGGAAAGCTGTCTGTTCTACCCATTTGTACCCCTCGACCCTGACACCTCTCCAGCTCTGTGCCCACGGGTCCTGAGTGTGCCCCACCCAGGTCTGGCTGCTCCAGCTGTTGGAGAGTACCAGCCAGGTATTTGGGACTGCATGCTTGTCCCTTCACTATCCTCAAGAAAAACCTGAATATGGCCTGTGGGGCAGTCCGGCTCACCTCCCCAGGCTGTGGCCCTGCAGGTCCCCTCCTGCAGCCCAAGGCCTTCCTGCCTCCAGGCCTGCACGCCAGCATCCTCTCTGCCTCCAGGGAGCTCCAGGCTTGTTTCCCCAGCTCTAGCCCCCTACTGCTGGGTCTCAAAGCCTCCTCTAGGAAGAGGAGGGAATGGCTTTAGTGACCCTGCTGTCTCAAGAGGCCTTGTTGTGGGGAAGGACCCCACCAGGGAGGGTCTCAGGGGTAAAGCCGAGGGTCAGGGCGTCCTCTCCTGCAGGCAGTGTGGCACCATTGAAGACTTCGTGTGTCAGCGATTTGGTTCAGCTTCATGGGCCCACTGTTTTTCCATGTTAAAATTGTTTTTCCTTTATTCATGAGAGTGCACGTGTGCATGCATGAGTAGGGAGGTGCTCCCTCCACAGGGTTTGGTCACATTGCGATTCTCTCCTCCAGCCCTCCAGCCAGTCGGGTCCTGGACACCGGGGCACGTGCCCGGCGTGTTTCAGCCTGACTGAGCTGGGGATCTGAACTGCAGCCGCCTGTGAGATCTAGCTTCTCTTGAACAGCACGCTACTGCCGTGCTGCAGAACCAGCCTGGGCCCACCATTGATCAGAAGCAGGGAGGCTGTTGGCTAAATGGGGTGGGGAGGGCAGAAAAGGAGGAAATAGTAATTATAGTAATGACAGTGTATTGAGGGAAAATGGTCTAAGTCCTCCACTTAGCACTTTGTGGCAATTACCTCGATTCTTACTCAAATGTAAGAGGGGGTACCCCTTGGGACACACAGATGGCATAGTGGCTATATCGCTGGACTCCCACAGAGTCCACTGCGGTTCTAGTCCCAGGACCAGCAGCTTAAAATTCACACTGGGGATTCATGCCAGGTACGTGTGCATGTGTGCCCGAAATCCCAAGACCAGAATGGAGAAGGGATTGTGGAATGGCCAACCCCCCCCTGGGGGGGTGATTTCTTGCTTTCTGTCTCTGTCTTTCTCTGCCTTTCTCTGTCTCTCCGGGAAGCACATGCACACTCTATAGCAAAAATCTCTTTTTAAAAAAAAAAAGGGACCAGCAGTTAGCGTAATGGCTGAGTCACTGGACTCCCATGTAGTCGACCACGGTTCGTGTCCCGGACCTGGTGGCTTAAAACTCACGCCAGGGGAACCAGCAGTTAGCATAATGGCTATGTCGCTGGACTCCCACGTAGTCGACCGTGGTTCGTGTCCCGGACCCCGTGGCTTAAAGCTCTCGCCGG